GCGGGTACTATGTATAGTAGCGGGTACTATGTATAGTAGCGGGTACTATGTATAGTAGCGGGTACTATGTATAGTAGCGGGTACTATGTATAGTAGTGGTTACTATGTATAGTAGTGAGTACTTTGTATAAAAGCGAGTACTATATTTAATATAAATATATTCCTGAGTTTTATTCAAGAATTTTAATCATGGAGTATTATTTATAAGTAGTGCTAAATGGTTTATTTTCACTATTATCCATATTCTTCATTTTTGTTATTATGTTATTATTATTATAGGCAAGAATATTACCCAACTGTTGATGAATTCTTACGGAGACTACAATCTGAAAACGAAGTAAAAGATCAAAATATTGAAATGAATGATGTTATTGTTGGCAACGAAAATGAGGATCAACTAAAAGATTCAAAAATTGAGGTATATCAATTTACTATAATGCTATGATTTAAACTTATGTATTCGTTTTTAATTTTTAAAGTTTCAATTCTTCAATTACACTCGGTTAGTCCGGAAAAAAGAATGATGAAAGACCAGGCTTTGAAGGTCGCCATTTACCAAAACTAATACAGATGCTTGAACGTGGAACCACTGATAAACTTCCAAGAAAATTCAAACGTAAGTTAGGAAAAAGACAAATAAATCCTAGGGCTAATAGTAAAATTAGAAAATATGTAGCAACTCATGGATTTCAACCTTCTCCTATGCTTGACGAGGGTGACGTATGATATCCGCAAGTTTTTGTGTAACATAATTCGATATCTTCTTTTGCTTGAGATCTGTTTCTAAAAATTGTATTCCATTTATTGTATGGATTCGTAGGTGGTATATAGTTAGCATTAGATTTTATAATACTCATTCTTTGGCGTATTTGTGTGATTGCTTATTTGAATACATCATAACTACTGTTTTCTTTGCGTAGATCCAACAAAAGTAGTTAAATATAGATTCTTCCACCCCCAAAAAATTTCTTTTAATAAATATCATTATTTGACAAATTATATTTCATGAATATGTGCCTGATATTTTGATTAATGGTTTTTGGTATTAAGGTTCATATGTTCATGGTGTATAAAAGAAATTTAAAATAAATTGTATCTATTAATTAATCAAGTTAATTTTTAAAAAACCTCTAAAGAAAATGAAAAATAAATTATTTGCATCTGTAGTCATTATATTTTTCTGTTAGTTATTCCAGACAAATCGAAAATTGTTACAAATTCACCTTTACTTTTTTAAAAAATTATTTAAGGACGATTTTAGCGCATCAAAGTGAAATTGCTGTTTCACAAAAACAGCAAAAATGTTCAGCAACGAAAAAACTGTAACATCTAGTTTAATTTAAGCCCTAAACTCTAATTCTGAAGTTTACTTAATTTTAAGTCAAATTTTCTATATATCATATATTTATCTATTATATTAACGTTAATTTCGTCCGTTGACATCGACCAATTAGAATCGCTAGTAATAATAATAATAATTTAAACATATTTTGGTGAATTTTATCTTTGGTGAAAATAAAAAAAAAAACTTTTTTGGAATATTTTAAAATGTAATTTTTACATTCTAAGAAAAATTTTAAACTGCTTATAAGCTAAAAATTAAAAAATTTTCGCAAATAAACTATTTATTAATTTTATAAATACAGTATTAGTTTTAAGCACATATTATTTAATCTAATATATATTATAAATTATAGTATACAAATAACTTCTTTTAATATTAAAATATAATTTTTAGTTAACAAATTTCATTAGTATTAGATATAATTTTATAAATAAATTTAGTTTATAAGCTTTTTTGAAAAATAAGATCTTGTTTTTATTTTTATTAATTATTTATATAAAAATTTTTTACAAATTTTTATAAAAATAAAATTTAAACCATAAACAAAAACTTCTAATAATAAAAACTTATTTAATTTATTTGCAACTTAAATTTATTAAAATTTTTTTATTTTTTTATTTTAAAGCTTTTGTTTTTTATTTATAAATAATAGCTTTAGCTAAAACTATATTTTGTACTATATATAGTATTAGATTAAAAAAAACTATTTAATTTTTATATGATAACAAAAATGAAATTTAGAAAAAACCTAATTGCTAAAATACATTCAAGAATAATCTGTTTAACTAAACTTCTTTTTATTTAAAATTTTTAACATTAAAATTTTTTATATTTAAAAAAAATATTTTTAGAATTATTAGATAATATCTAGCAATATTATTAAAATTTTTGTTTTATAATAAAGTATTTTTAATTTAAACTAGATCAATTTAATTTTTTATTTAATATAATATCTACTATCTATTTTTTTTTATAATTTAGCTATTTTGCTACTATTTATTTAAAATCAGAACTACTTAGCAAATTACAAAAATTTTCTTCTATAGCTACTCAATTTATCTCAAACATGTGGCTTACCAAGCTTATACTCAATATAATTTGTCTTAGTAGCTATTGGTCTTCATAACTTGCTAAGAACTTTTTCTCTTCAGTTCTTGGTTAGCAGCTATATGTCTTATCAGAATACCTTATATTTTTTTTTAATAAAGAAATATGAACACATATTCAAAGGCTAGTAAAAAAAAGAGAAAATATAATAACAAAATCTGAATATACCTCAACAAATAAAACTAAAAGAAAATAAAAAAAAACCAAAATAAAAGAAACAAATACAAAAGATAGCATTATTAAACCTATGTGAGATTGTAAAAATTATATAGTATGACTAAATAAACTAGTTAAACTTTATACTAGTTACTTATATCTATATCTAGAATATAAAAACTTTCTATTTTGAGTAGAGGTTCAAGTTTAAAATTTTCAGTACATCTTTAGCAAAACTATTATAATATATTCATGTGAAATTCTTTCTGTTCTAAGTTCACAAAATTGATAAAATAGAATCTAATTGTCTATAAAATTTAGAGAGCAGAAGAGTAATTTTATATTATTACTTTTAATTTGGCGGTCCTGCCTATTACTCTTTATTGGGAAGTACCAGAACTTATATCAACAGAGAGATACAATTTTCTATACTATATTCCACATAAGTAAAGATCAACTTGAGCTAAGCTCAGAGAACGACTCACCTAGTAGCAATTGGCTTCACATTGGATCCTCAACTTACTGAGGACATGAACCCTCCGATCCTTAGCCCTAGCAGCTGCATACTTCATCAAAAGAGCCAAATTAACGAAAGCACAAACACAAAAGAAAAAATAAAACAGAGGTAAAAGGGAAATACAATAAAAAATACAAACAAGAAAGAAAAAGAGGTAAGGGAATATCGAAAGAAAGAGAAAAAAAAATTTTCCTATCCTAATGATCATTATTATGAGTTCATGAAAGGCTTATAAAAATTACATACTACTAAATAAAATAATCTCTACTTTAAATTTATTTGAATAGTATATGAAAGCTCAAAACCAGTGAGAAAATATTTCTTTGACTATAGAATATAGGGGTCAGTACTTGATTTAAGTTGTAGAACATTGCTTAATCAGATTGTTGTATTCGAGGCACGTGCTTTGATATATTTGTTGTCCTGTTATACCAATTTAGGAAGTAAACAATGTCAACTGTTTTGGTGCATGTAATGTCGATCTTTTGGAGGAGATAAGCTGAAATACCTACTTTTTACAAAAATTTTCTCGAAAAAAAGTGGTGGGTCAACGAAAGTATGTGAGGTTCTTCTTGTAAGAGTTATAGTAGTATAGTTCAGTTTCTCTGTTTCTACTAGATATTCTTTTACAGGGACCTGACAAGGACGTTGCTTCCAAAATATCTTTTTGGTTTGGATGTCGAAGATATGGTGAAGTCCACTTCTTTTTTTCTTGCTGTTACTAGAAACTTCTCTGGTTTGAATACCGAATGCACAAAGGAGTCCACCACATATAGAAAAGGCTTGACCTCTGTGCAAACTGTTCACAATGCCTGCACCTCAGTATATTACATTTAAGAACTTTGTCAACAACAGCTTGTAAAAAAGGAGCTTGACTATAATACCAGACCTACTTTTTGTTTATACGCCTGCTCCTCGATGTTTTACGTATATAAGTTTAGTCGATAGCAAGTATGTTAGTATAAACCAAGAGTATTGTAGTGTCCACTTTGTCACTTTTTTATAACTTTAACTGTAGTTTAATTTTTTTTGTTGTTGACCAAGAGATCATCAGAAAGAGTTTTTGTATGATGAGTAATTTTATATTATTTATTTCAAAGTAGACATATATATATATTATAACTTTTTTTTGGCAATGATTATTATTATTAATTTTTTAATAAAGATATACTGTATTTCTCACTTTTAGATAAAATTTATAAAGTGCAAAGAGTAGAATATTGAAAAGAATTTCAGTTAGCAGGTAACCTTAAACTTTGATAGAGAATATATTAAAAACTTACTTGCTATTCTTCTTGACTAACTATCTTTTCATTTCATTAACAAAAGCTATATTTCTATTAAAATTTTCTATACAAGAATATTATCTTCTTGTCAGTTATCTTGTACAAGAATATTTTTAACTTGCTTGCTGAATATATAGAGAAGTTTAGATTAGAAATTAGAAAAGCTTTGATCTTTATAAAAACTGTTACTTGTATAGTTATCTTTTCTACTTTTCTTTAACAAGTTTTGTTTTAGTTACAGTAGTTATAAGTTTAATATGAGTGATTATCAGAAAGAGTTGATAGATATTTTTGATCTGCTGTCTATTTTTTAAAAATTTAATCAATCAAATTATAGTATTGATTTTTAAAATTTTGATTTTTTAGCTAATTAAATTACTATTTTTATTAATTTATATTTATTTTTTTTTATTTTTTCTAAACTATTTTAAATTAAATTAAACAAAATTAATTTAATATAATTTTAATAATATTTTATAAAAAATATAAAAATAAAATAAAATAAAATAAAAATAAAAAATATAAATAAAAAATAAAATTCTTTTTGATAATTATTTATATAAAATTTTAATTTTATTATAAATTATTAGAGAAGAAACAGATAAGAGGTCATTATAATCCTCTGGGAATTATTAATTTACTATGTTCAAGGTATCCAGACAGTATATAAAAAACTCGTAATTTTACGGTAAATCATGGGTTATAACAATTGTGTGATTAGCTAATTGATGTAAATTCAAATGTGATTATTAACCAATCAAATCAATTAAAAATTTTTTTAATATGCAAAATACGTAAAAAAATAAATTTATTATTAACAAAAGCAAACTATTTTTAATACTAAAGTAATTTTATTCTATTTTGCAACTATACGATTTTACTAAAATATATTACATCTAACATATTACTACTCTATAGTCTATACTACAGTAATTAAATCACACCATTGTATTTATTATACTACATATTAAAGACAATTTCTTTTTTGTTTGATATATAATACGTATATGTGTCATAGTTTGGGTAAAATAAATCATGTTAAAGTACTTATATTGCGTAGCCTGTTAAATAAATATAAAGTTTTATATTAGTATAACACTCACAGTTTAGCAATTTATAAATCTATTGTTTGGCTTCATAATTTAAACATAGTGGAAACTCAATAAACTTAGCTAATTACCAAATGCCTTACCTTTGTTTTTATGAAAACTTTCTGGGGAAAGTGATTGAAAGCAATTAGAAAAGATTTTTTGCTAGAAATACTCAAAATGAAAAAATTTTATTTATAAATGGGTATCTTAAGTTTAACTTATTATGGTTAAACAGATGATGAAATTGCCAGTTTTTAGACTACAATCATATATTAAATTTTTAATTGCCCATATAAATAGTTTGTATAACAATTATTTCAGAATCTATCGGATACGAGTTTCTTATATGCTTATCTAGACTCAGTTATTTGACAATTACAAAAATTAAAGTAATCAATAATATAATTTTATAAATTTTGCTTATTTATATACCCTTGTATATTTTTATATACTTTTGCATAAATATGCATATTTATATATAAACATATATAATTATACATAAATATATATATTTATGCAAAAAGTGCATAAAAATATACAAGAAGTATATAAATATGCAAAATTTATAAAATTATATTATTGATTACTTTAATTTTTGTAATTATCAAATATCAGACTCTGGGTATCTTGAACATAATCAATTGACAATTCCCAGAAGAGGTTATAATAACCTCTTATCTATTACTCCGCTTATAAAATATTTAATTTTTATTAAATATTTTATATTAAAAATAGTTTTATTAAAATTTTGTGTATTATTTTTTGCTATACTTTGCATTTGGTATATCCTTTTGATATTTTAAAAATTTACTAGATAACTCTGTTGTGTAATTAATAAAAAATATTTTTATAAAGTTTTTACTCTAACCCAACTCTAATCCTAATCCTAACTTTAATTCTAATTTAATTCTAATTTATATTGATTTTACTATAGGAATTACCAAATAAATTTATACTAAAATTTTATATTAAAATTTTTTAAATTTTATTATAAATAAAACTTTATATTAGAATTTAATTATTTTTTTATTTTTTAAATTCATTTCTGAATTAATAAATAATAATAAATATAAATTTTATTAAAAAGATATACTTCAAAATTACAAGTAGATTAAATAAATATATATTTATCTATTATAAAAATTTAATATAAGGTTAATAATAAATTTTTTTCTAAATTTTAATTTTTTAATGAGAATTATAATTTGGTGTACCATGCACCGTGGTGCACTCTAATCAGGAAATATTATAATTTTTTCTTTTAAAACTCTATTCTTACCCTAATACTAACCCTAATACTAATTAACAGTATTTTTTTTTAAAAAAAATAAATACACATTAAATTATATAAACAATAATGATCATTTCTATTTTGGTTAATAAAAAAACCTTTATATTTTGTTTACATAATAAAAACCAAATAATATCTCATGTTTTCATATACTCTGCATTTTTAAGTGTCTATTAAGATAAAATGAGAAGTTTTTTATAGGTAATATACCAATTCTGAAAAAAAATAGTATTACATTTCTCTCTTCATAATAAAAACTCATTTGTAAACAGATTTCTCTTGATCAATAGAAAAAGAATAAGTACTTCATTCGTTCTGGGGTTTCTTTTAGCCACTTTTTAAAAAAGTTACAAGTTCTTGTTAAATAGCTGACAATTTAACAACTAAACTTTGTACTTCTTTTAGTTAGAAAATTGCTCATGGGTGTTTTTTTGGGAGAAGGCAAAACCAGAGCCATGTTAGAGTTGCTTAACATTATAGCATTTGTACCCTTCTTTTTAAACTTGGTACCAGTTAAGATTTTTACTTAGTAAATAACTTTAATATTAACAATGTTTTATTTATTTTATTTTATTTTTTTATTAAAGATGGTTTTTTTAGGTTCTATTATATTTAAGCGAAACGGACTATAAAGAATGGAATTTTTATTTTTATTTTTTTTATAATAATGGATAGTGAAAATTATTTACTCGAAAGAAACTTCTATGAGTCACTTAAATAACAATGTTGTCGTGTATATTCAATGGACAATATTCAATTAAAAAAAATGGTATTTGCCAAGAAATAAAGTTGGGTATGCGATTTTATCAACTTATACGTGGATCTAAACACTGAATTTTGACGATTATCCGATAAATAAACAAAGAATAAAGCCGCGTTGTAGTTTGGGTTAGGGTTAAAATAACTTCATGTATAAACAATCCAATTTTACGAAGAGCATTTTTAATGAGGCCGCAGAAGGTGGTTTCTTAATTAAATTTTCGTGTTATTTGTAGGGATTGGAACCGCCTAAAATTTTTCTTAATCGTTTAATCGTTAACCGTTTAACCGTTTAATTTGGCCGGCATTAAGATAATTCCGGCCCACGACCGATATAATTCTGCCCGGAATTATGGAACAATTTTTAAACGGTTAAACGATTTCGCTTCGATTGTTTACGTTACACCTGATCTTGAAATTTGATTGGTCAAAAGCACGGAGGTTAACAATTTTTTATGGGAGAGCTTGGGGCATTATACAAATCTTTAAAAATGTCTTTACAATCTTTCACAAAGGAAAAGAATAAGTCAGGCTCCCGAGAATCATGCATCATACCACTTCCAATTTCTATATCCAGCACTAGTTCCTTCACAAATACAATTATAACTACTTTAGCCAACCGCTTTCCACTTTTAACTTATTACACTAGTAATATACAAAAATCACGCGTAAAAGCGCGAGGAAGTTTTAATTCTACCTCTAATTCAGTGATAGTCTCAGAAAAGCAAGATATACAGAAGTTATGGAAGCAAGGTTTTTTCGGGAAAGGAAATTTATCAAGAAGTGAGCCTACTTTCGAATGGAGAGATGGTAAGAAAGGTAAGAATAGGATGGTAAAGGTAATAATTTTTTAAGGTGCGAATTGGTTCACTAATTTATAATAGTAGCAGGGGACCAGCCTTTATCTGCAGAACAAATAACACAGAACCGTAGGGTAGCAAGAGCAAAAAGGAAAAAGAACAAAAAGAACGTATCTGCGTCTATTATCAACAATGAAGATAGCAAGGGCTTTATTGACGTTAATGATGATAAAAATGATACAGAATCAACCTGTCTGATTGATACACTAGGACAGCCTGACGTAGCTTCTCTAACGACTTCAACAAAACAAACAATAAAAATCGATGGTGATGAAACTTATAATGATAATAAAGATGATAATATTAAAATTGATGCTGATGAAAATTATTCTGAATACAAGGATGAAGATGATAACATTATACAAAATCAATCTGCATTTATTCAAGAACATTTACAACTTACGACAGAAGAAGCATTTTTCTTAAGTTTTGGACTCGGATGCTTGGAAATATATGACACTAATGACGTGTGTTTCAATTAACTTTTACATTATATAAATTTTATTCGTAACATTTCTTATCTATAAATATAAAACAGAATTTGATGACTATCCGAGATTGTTGGAACGCATTTCGTATATCCACTGTATCTATATCGTCTTTTCCATCCATTATCACATCTAACACTCCTCAGGATTCACCACTAATTCAATCAGATAATCCATTCATTATTCGATATGTTGTATATCATTATTTTCGCAGTTTGGGATGGGTCGTTAGAGGAGGTATGAAATTTGGATGTGATTACGGTATGTATATTACTGAAAAATCCATCGGCTCTAAGTAACATGTATCTTTACTAACAATTCGGACGTATGAACAGTGTTGTACGAAAAAGGACCTGTATTCAAACATGCAGAGTTTGTATCTAAATATTCCATGTTTCATTATTCTCGGTTACAAACCAATTTAATAACAAAGTCTTTTTTTGGAATTACTAGATATTGCGTAATAGTGCTTCCATACTACCTTTCTGCCACAAGTAACACGAATAACAACCACTTTCGTCATAACGTTACGGCATCTTGGCAATTAATGTCAAATTTGAGCAGAGTTTGTGTACAAGTTAAAAAGGTATTTATTTATTCGTTGATTGTTTTTTTTATTGTGTTTACAACACTAATCTTTATATTTATATGAATATTTGAAACAAATGTATATAGTCATTAGTATTATGTTATGTAATTATTCCACCATCTCCATTAAAAACAATACCAGATTTACCATCTCATGAACAAATCCAAACGTTAACTTATTCAGATAATGACAAAAATAATTACAGTACTTTTAACTTGAACGATCCATTCGAATGTATAAAACATTACAAAATTAAAGAAATTTTAATAAAAAGATGTACACCTGAAAGAGTCAAGTAAAAAATATATATAACAAGAATTGCTAAAAAAATATATATATAGTATATTATATAAAGAATAAATCTAAATAATATCTTATATATTTTGTATTTTTATAAGCTTGCAATAGAGACAACATATATAAAAAATTTGGTAGCTCTAAGTATTTTTTTGAATTTTATAGAATTTTTAAAAATTGACTTTTTTTTGTTTTTTTATTGGCAAATTTTACTAATAAATTTTATATTAAAAATTATTTAATTTTTTAAAATTTTAAACTTCTATTATTTTTAATATATTAACTTAATCTTAATAAATTTTATTAATTTGAAT